ATATAATTATATATATATATATAGATTATAAGGACTCTGACCAAGCAATGGGTCTTCCGTGCCGACACGGCCCTAAAAGCCCTAAACCCTGGCCTTGGCCAAGCACTGAAGGGACAGCGCCTCACCCCGCATATCCCCAACCTGCCGGGGCGATGTGTCGGGTTTAGGGTTTAGGGTTCAATCATGCTTGAACCCCACATAGTTTAGGGTTTAGGGTTTTAGGGTTTAGGGTTTAGGGTTGTGTAGGGCTTAGAGTTTAGGGTTCAAGGATGTCTTTGCGCTGTGGTCGCTGGAGCACCTCTTCTGCAATGGCCAATGCTCTCTGCGACGTCCTTAAGCTGCCATCCGTGGAATGCTGTTCTCGTATCGCACTTCTACAAAAGCTGTTCCTGAGAGGGTTGTTTGCAGAAACTGCTACTGGGAACAGGAGCTGCATGTTGAAATGTTCAAGCCCCAAATTTATGACAGCGTCACCGGCGCGCAGAAGGGGCGACTGCCGGACGGTTTGAACAATGCAGTCGGACGCACACAAGCACACACACGTTTGCTCCCGTTGGTTCGCTGCCTTCTCGGTTTCCGTAGGTCTCTCTCTCTTTCTCTCGCTCTCTGCCAGCCGGTCTGTCTGTCCGCATGTCCCTGTCTCCGCGTGCGGGTGTCTTCTGCTTAAGTGGGAGTTTCCGAAAATAGGGGACCCTAATATAGTACCCTAAATAATAGGATCCTTATTATAAGGACCCCCAAATAAGGTACCCTAATTTTCGGAAGCCCCCAAGTGTGTCTGCACGTACGATCACGCACGTGTGTACTGCAAGTTTGCTCCTGGGGCGGCTGCTGCAGGGCTTCAGTTGCATCGCACTTGGCCAGAAGAGCCTCAAAACACGGTTTAGGAGTTTAGGGTTTAGGGTTAGGGTTTAGGGTTTAGGGTTTAGGGTTTAGGGTTTAGGGTTTAGGGTTTAGGGTTTAGGGTTTAGGGTTTAGGCTATAACGGCGTGTACACAGAATTACTGTAGCCCTCTGCCGCCGTTGCAGTGCAACAAGCAGTAAAGCTCACATGTGCCAGACAGTCAGCAATCTTCAACAGAGACTTGGCTTTTGAGGGCCGCGCCCGCGCCATGGTCAGGAAAGCAGACACTTCCTTCTCCGCGAGCTGAGATGCCTTCAATTCATCACTGCAGCTTCTGGGCTGGGAACGCGAAACCCTGCACCCTAAACCCTGGGTTTAGGGTTTAGGGTTTAGGGTAAACCCTACACCTCGAAACCCAAAACCCTCAACCCTCCGAAAATCATACAACAACTCGCACCTTGAACTCCTCCTGAGCTTCCATGGCCCATCGCAGAGCATCCTCTTTTCAACAGGGTTGAGGTCCTTATTCTAGGGCCCTCAAGCTTATAGTGGCGGCTAGCAGCGCTTCTGAAACCCTTAAAGGAACCCTGTTCCCTAAACCCTAAAATCTAAACCCTTGAAGGAACCCTGTTCCCTAAACCCTACACCCTTAAAGGAACCCTATTCCCTAAACCCTAAAATCTAAACCCTTGAAGGAACCCTGTTCCCTAAACCCTCCACTCCTACACCCTTAAAGGAACCCTGTTCCCTAAACCCTAAACCCTTAAAGGAACCCTGTGCCCTAAACACTAAAATCTAAACCCTTGAAGGAACCCTGTTCCCTAAACCCTACACCCTTAAAGGAACCCTGTTCCCTAAACCCTAAAATCTAAACCCTTGAAGGAACCCTGTTCCCTAAACCCTAGACTCCTACACCCTTAAAGGAACCCTGTTCCCTAAGCCCCAACCCTTAAAGGAATCCTGTGCCCTAAACACTAAAATCTAAACCCTTGAAGGAACCCTGTTCCCTAAACCCTACACCCTTAAAGGAACCCTGTTCCCTAAACCCGTAACCCCCTGTTCCCGTCAACAAAAGGCCCCCTTGTAGCAGTCCTGGAGGCGATTGGCCTCGAGGTAGACATTGGCCAATGCGAGTTTCATGGTCGCCTCAGGTTAAGGGTTAAGGGTCTAGGGTTTAGGGCCAGGGCTTAGGGTTTAGGGCTCAGGGCTTAAGGCTTAGGGTTTAGGGTGTAGGGTTTTTTTTCTTAACTCCTTTTTCCGTCTGACGGAGCATCCCTCATCCAGAATCCACTCTAAAGGGTTTAGGGTTTAGGGCTTAGGGTTCAGGGTTTAGGGTTTTTAGGGATTGGCGGTTCCATAAGAAGCCAGCAGGGGAAAACCGACCACCTCAACAAAGCGCAGTGCTGACATGAATGGATCGAAACGAACATGTGAGCCACAGGAAGAGTGGAAGGCCCTTTCATCTAGATCCCCTAAACCGTAAACCGTAAACCCTAAACACAAGGTCACAACCAAGCATTAGTAAGGACTGCACCTCCCCGCACTTGTCTCCTGTCCTCTGGTAGTTTTCCATATGCATCTTCGCTGATGATAATGCCTTGTCCTTCCGGAATGTAGGCACTGGACGGTTTGGGCTCTAGGGCTTTGGGTTTTTTCGAATGCCTGGTTTGTATCTGCAACATCCGAAAAGGGTTTAGGGGTTTAGAGTTTCTGGGTTTGGAGGTTCATGGAGACGCAGTGGCTGCCCGAAACTGACAGAAACAACCAAGCGCCGCATCCTCCCCCTCGCGGACTGCCACGGCAGCAATGACGGCCTGTATGGAAGCGTTCAGCCACTCGACAATCGAACAATCGGTTCGAGGAGCGGCGTCTTGTCGGATCCTACCCTAAACCCCTAAACCGTAAACCCTACACCCTACACCCTAAACCCTAAACCCTAAACCCCTAAACCCCTAAAGCCCTAAACCTCTAAACCCCCAAAGCC